AGTTGGCACAATGGCTGCATCGCTGGACTCCCATATAGTGGACCTCAGTTCAAGTCCTGGACCTGGTAGCTTAAACTCACACCCAGCAAGTGTGCATGCGTGCCCAAGATCCCAAGGGGAGAATGGAAAAGAAGGGATTGCGGTGTGGCCATTCCCCCTGGGGGTATTTTCTCACTTTCTGTGTCTCTGTCTTTCTGGCAAGTACACGCACCCTATAGCAAAAACCTCTAAAAAAAAATTTTTTTTTACCAAATAAGTCGGCTTTCTGATTCCAATCCCAAAAGGCCCAGAATGTGTGTATTGGGGTGGGGGAAGGATCTCAATTTCCCAAACGCCAAACGGGCACCTGAGCTGCCCCAGGGAGATCCCAGAACGAGGGCCCAGAAAGAAGCAACGGCACCCTGGCCCTGGGCAAACCAGCCTCCTACAGCTCAGTAGTGAGGGACCGCAGTTTGGACCAGAGCCCTCTGAGTTGGCAGCGGCACGTTGGCCCCTCTCCAGGCTCCACCTGCTCCAGAGAGGAGGTCCTGAGGCTCCATTCCCCGCTGGGCTCACTGCGGTCCCAGCCAGGACTCACCCACCTGGGGCAGAGCAACCTGTGGCGGGTTTGTGAGGAGTGTGGCGGCCTCTGCTGGTGGCACGAGCACATAGCGCCGCACTCCGGGCATCTTGGCAGACGCGGAGGGAGACCACAGACACACCCTGAGCCCGCCTTCGCTATCGGGCTCGTTCTTGGGGCCCAGAGAAGAGATCCGGCGCCAAGAGCAACCTTTGTGGACGGTTTGCAAAGAATGCTAACAGGTGTCAGGCTTCCTTAGTATTTCCCACCACTGGGGAGGATTCCCCCTGTGGTCTGCCCAGGTGAGGCCAGCAGAAAATCCGAATGGGAGGGCAGGACAGACCACAGAGATGCCTTAGAGCCCGCCCTGACTGGCATGGGACGACCTCCCCAGACAGGGGTGACCTGCCTAAACTCACACAGGAGTTAAGGACAAAGCCAGGATCGAGCCATGTCTCCCTGGCCATCACCTCGCAGGTGTGGTTGACACCCAGGAGCACAGCCCACCTGGCCTCTGCCCCCTGCCATCTCACATCCTGCATCCCACACCCAAGTGCCAGCTGCAGCCACAGCTCCAGGCCCAGGCGCTGCTGCCAGAGGGGCCAAGAAGGCCAGGTCCCCTCAGCACAGCCACAGGGCACAGCCAGGAGCTGGTGCCCGGCACGCCGGTATAAATAATGCAGAAGGGCAGGCCTCGCTTGCCTCCCTCCTCCCTTGCCTCCCTTCTCTCCTGGGAAAGGTGAAAGCAAAGGGTTGCTATGGACACTGCAGCCGGGCTCTCCCTCCTCGGCAATAATCCAAAGCCATCCTCCCTGCTGGAGTCCAGGTCTCTAATTGCCAAGCCTCGGAGGCCACCGGGAAGCTTCACAGGAGGTACGGGGCAGCCGGAGAGCCCAGGGTGAGGTGGGCTGCGGAGGGAGTGACAAGATGGAAATCAGCCGAGATCGGAAGCCACAAGCTCAACCTCTGCAGGTAGCTTGACAAAACCAATGTCGATTTAGTGGAATTAGGAAAGCAATAGTGTCTTAACAAGCTCCCCAGCAAATCAGACACTTAGTCGCTGTGGCCAGCTTCTCTCGGGATGTTGAAGGAGAGGCGGGCGAGGACAGGCCCCCGCTGTGCGCCTGAGTACCGCGTGCGGGAGAGGCCTGGGCAGCCCTTTTGCACTTACATAAGGACGGCCGCAAGTCCCGGGCAGCTCTGAGCAGGACTCCTGCCACTCTGCCGTCCTGTGGGTAGAGACACCCCACCTCCCTGTGCCTTACAGGTCCCCCTCGTTTGTCCTCACCAGGAAATTAGACCAACCACCATGGAAACAGCATGCTGCTCCCTGATAGGCTCCCTCCACAGGAGCACAGAACTGTCACCTCTAATCCAAAGCCTGTCACCTCCATGCACGTCCTCTCCAAAAGATCAGGACACTGTCACTGCTGTTCTTGTCCCAGCACTGGGCTCTCCACCATGAGATCAGAGCACAGCCACCTCCACATCAGGCCAGGTCACTAAGACCACCCGTTTTCACGCACCCATGGACCTAACCCAGTGAGACGGGGAGGTCCGATGTGGAGCATCCCATCGAAGACCACGCGCCATTGGACAGGCCAATCAGTTCACCTGCCAAAAGACCTAGAAGCCCCAGAGAACCTTTTTTTCTTTTTTTAAGAGGTTTTTGTTTTTGTTTTCCTATAGGGTGCATGAGTTCAAAGGAGGGACAGACAAAGAGAGACAGAAAGCAAGAAATCAACCCCCAGGGGGAATGGCCATGCTGCGATCCCTTCTCCTCCAGTCTCCTCTTGGGATTTTGGGCAAACATGCACACACGCCCAGTGTGAGTTTTAAGCCGCCAGGTCTGGGATTTGAATCACTATCAACTACATAGGAGTCCAGTGACATAATCATTACACCATCTGCTGGTCCCAGTCCCAATGAATCTTTTAAAAAAGGGCAGGAGGAAAGCATGCCAGGCCCAGCTACTGACCACAAATATGGTGGCCAGAGTGGCCTTCTGGAGGTTGTGCCCGTCTCCCCTGGAGCCCAATGCTGGGCGACATTGCTGCAGACCAGGAGGACGAAGTTAGCTCTGCTCTGATCAGCCCCGCAGAAACCCCGTCTTCATACACTCTGGAGGCAGAGTATGACAACCAGGGAAACCCCTCTCCATCCCAAGAGACCTTTGAGATAGATACAGACAGAGACAGAGACATGGAAGCGAGAGACAAGACAGAGATATCAACATATACAGTAGAGACAGAGATAGAGAGACAGACAAGTATACACAAGTGTATACATGTAAGTGTATACATGACATAATCATTATACACACACACACACACACACACACACATATATATATATACAAATATACGTGTGGGAACCAGCAGTTGGCATAATGGCTATGTCACTAGACTCCCATGTAGTCGACCACAGTTCGAGTCCCGGACCCAGTGGCTTAAACTCACGCTGGGCGCGCGTGCATGCATGCCCAAGATCCTGAGAGGAGAAGGGAGAAGGAATTGTGGTGTGGCCATCCTCCTGGGGGGATGATTTCTCACTTTCTGTCTTTCTGTCCCTCTGTCTTTCTGGCTAGCACATGCACCCTATAGTAAAAACCTCTCCAAAAAAAAAGGGACAAATATACGTGTGTATAGAGAGAATGAGGTGGGAGGGAGGGATCGAGGACTTCTCTGAATGTCCTATTTACTGGCATCTCCCTGTGGGTCAGTACTGTTCCATTTGACTGAGAAACAGACCCAGAGAGGCCTCCGTGGAGGGACTTGCCCAGGGTGGTCTCGCTGAGTTCCAGGCTCCGAAGCCCAGCACCCTCCTCCTGGCTGCCTTCCTAGCTGGCATTTGAGAGTCCCGTCTGAGAACAGTACGGATGAGGCTGCACATCTCAGAAGGACTGTGTGCCAAACAGAAGCCATTATTCCACCCGGGGACTTGTTTCCTACAATTTAGGAAGCTTCGCCCTCCCTGATTATTTCCGAAATCGTATTCCCAGGGCCGATTCCATGACCAATTATGGCTCGGGCAATCTCTGGGCCCAGCGGGGAGCTCCTGGGGGCTGGTGACTGCTAATCCTCTTTTCCTATCAATGCCTTCCTCCTCCTGCAAACCTAGTGATTAAGCCTCCTGGTGGCCCCAGAAACTGGCAAGTGTAAATCCCTGAGGGTAAGAAGGGCCAATGACTTCCTACCTACCTCTTGCCACTTCCGTTAGACAAACTTCTGCACCAGCCAGGGGGGCTGGAAAAGGGAAAGAAAAGGAAAAATTGTGCACGTCTGCCCAGAGCCCCTGAGAGCTCGATGTGGCATTTCCGGCCATGGGAGCCACGGCTCTGTTCAGCGGGCTCCTCTGCATCTCCCAGCAAAGGCCAAGGCCGTCTCGGGCCCCCTTTTCCAACGGTGAAGGGGTAAGTTGTTCTGCAGTGTGCGCGGGGCCCACAGATTGCAGTGGATCGAACTTTCATGGTAGAGAGGAAGGACGAGATAGCAAGAGATCCCGAGAGACCTGAACCCTGGGTCCGGAACAGTAAGATACCAGCACAAAGGCAGGAATTTTCCAGAATAGTTTGCCAAATACAAGCAGCCTTGCCCCTGTTTGAGGCTAGGCAGGTGCTAAGTGAAAAGGTCCGCCCTCCTCGTGAAACAGACGGGGTGGCCAGCACAGTGCAGTCACGGCAGGGACCCACAGGGGCTCACGGCCTTCTCACCTCCTTCCCTCTTGTACACAGGGGTCTCAACAACTCAAAAGGGGCCTTGCATTAAGACTCCAAGAGCTGGGGCCAGCCCATGGCGTGGGGGTTTAGGTGGATCCCACGTGACTGACTGAGCAGTTCGAGTCCCAGAATCGTGTCTTGAGAAACATGCCAGGCACATGTACACACACGTGTACCCAAAATCCTGAAAGGAAGGGAAAACAGAAGAGAAGGAATTGTGGTGTGACCTGGGGAGTGCCTTTTCACTTTGCTAAGTGAAAAGGTCCGCCCGCCTCGGGAAACAGACGGGGTGGCCAGCACAGTGCAGTCACGGCAGGGACCCACAGGGGCTCACGGCCTTCTCACCTCCTTCCCTCTTGTACACAGGGGTCTCAACAACTCAAAAGGGGCCTTGCATTAAGACTCCAAGAGCTGGGGCCAGCCCATGGCGTGGGGGTTTAGGTGGATCCCACGTGACTGACTGAGCAGTTCGAGTCCCAGAATCGTGTCTTGAGAAACATGCCAGGCACATGTACACACACGTGTACCCAAAATCCTGAAAGGAAGGGAAAACAGAAGAGAAGGAATTGTGGTGTGACCTGGGGAGTGCCTTTTCACTTTCTCTCTCTCTCTGTCTCTGTCTCTATCTTCTGTGAGAATAGGTGCCCTCTAGCAAGTTTTAAAAGAAAGAAAGAAAGTTGTTTTGCCAACTCAAAAGGGGGCTTGCATTAAGACTGCAATGAGGCGCTCGCTTCGGCAGCATGCGTACTGAAACTGGAACGATACACAGATGAGCTTGGCCCCTGCGCAAGGATGACATGCACATTCATGAAGCGTTCCATATTTTAAAAGAAGAAGAATAAGAAAGAAAGAAAGAAAAAGAGAAAGAGAAAGAAAAAAGAAAGAAAAAGAGAGAAAGAAAAAGAAAGGAAGGAAGAAAGAAAAGACCGCGGTGAGTACAGTTCGTCTTGCTGCGGCCGTTGCTCAGGACGGGGAGGCAGGCCCACTGCCACGTCTGTGGAATGAGGTGTGGGAAGGAGCTCGGAGCACACGTGAGGCTGGTCGTGCCCTGGCTGGCCTGGCTGGGCCCGTCCTGGGGGCAGAGCTCAGCATCTCTCTCTAGTGATCACTTCCACCTGGAGGGCCCCTGAGTCCTCTTAATCTTTTTTTTTTTAAGTCCATTTATTTCTTCCATGAGTGAGAGAGCGCATCATCCATAATGTCCTGACACGGGGATTCGCCCCGAGCCTCAGCCAGCCCCGGATCACAGGCACGCACGTGCCCAGTGTCCTTGGGAAGGTCTTCAGACACAAACCCGAAACCCTGCCATGGGGGCCAGCCTCGCAGAATGTCACGGTGTACTGTGGCACCACCGTCTGGCCCCTGCCTACGGCTCTTTGACCTCCTAAGGAACTTGAAGAACTCAAGTCAGTTAGCCCAGGGGGTGTCGGGAGCCAAACTCCAAGGCCACGCTCAGTCAGCCGCGCCTAGGCTGCCCCTGGCTGGGAAGGTGACATTCAGTCCCCTCCTGCTCCTCCATCGCCCCGGCCTGGCCGCGACACAGGTAAGCAAGCAGCTCTGCCAAGTGAAGCCTCAGAAGAGAGAGGAGGAGACACGTGCATCCGGGTGGCAGTTTGTCAGCTGTGCCAGGAAAGTGACGCTGGGGGAGGCGGTGGAAGTGGGTGACTCAAGGCAGGTTCAGGATTATCTGCCGTTGTCAATTATCCACGTCCCTCATCACCATGGAGAGTTGGGAATTGGGTGTATCTGCCTCCCCCTCACCGCTGCTGCTGGCATTAGAGACGTGATCTGTACTTGGAGCGGCTGTGGGTAAAGGACTCAGAACGGTCTCTGTGTAAAATTTCCCCAGCACCGAAATGTCATTAAATCGCTCTTTGTGCCTGGCACCTCTCGGTCCCTTTAAAAATAGCTGGAAGATAAACATCTCCGAGGAGAGGACTGACGACCATCGAGCCTCTGTGTGGTACTCAAGACTCATTTCCGGCCCAGGAAACTTCAACCCAGAGAGGCTCAATGGGCTGCCCATGACCTGCCACCGTGCAGGACGACAAAACTGGCACCCAGCATGGAGCTATCTGCTCCCAGGCTCGCCATCCCACCCCACCCCCTCCCAGGAAACCCAGACCTCCCTAAAACATGGTAGGCCCACCTAGGACCTCCCATCGGCACCTGCCAGGACCCTTCAGCTGCCCCTTCAGCTGCCAGTTAAGAACTTGGAGAACTTGAAGTCAAACCAGCCCGAGGGGCAAATGGAGCCCACTCCAGGGCCACGCTCAAGTCAGCAGCATGTAGGGCTGCCCTTTGGTTGCTGATAAAGAAAATCTAACTTGGGCCGGCTCCATGGTGTGGCAGTTAAGGTGGCTTGATCCCACATGACCAACCCTGCAGTTCGAGTCCTGGACCTGGCAGCTTGAGAAACACAAAGGCAGGTGTCATGCATGCCCAGATTCCCCAGAGGTGGAAGATGGAGAAGAAAGGATTGCAGCATGACTATTCCCTACGGGACAGGGAGGGTGGGTGCTTTCTCTCCCTCTCTCTCTCTGTCTCTGTATTGCTCTTTGGTGAGTGCAAAGAAGGAAGACAGGGAGGGACAAAGGAAGGAAAGGAAGAAAACCCAACTTGGCCCAACCAGTGGCACAGTGGCTAAGGCAGCTGGATCCAACGGCATGGTTCAAGTCCTGGACCCGGTGGCATGAAAAATACCGGGCACATGTGCACAAAATTTTGTGCCCAAAATTTCAGGAGGAGAATGGAGGAGAAGGTATTGCAATGTGGCCATCCCCCATGGGGGGTGCTTTCTTCCTTTCCCTCTTTGTGTCTCTCTCCAGTGAATGCATGCACCTTATGGCAGAATAAATAAGTAAATAGAAGGACCTCTATTGTCGCACACACTGTAAACTCAGCAGGGACAGTTCCAGGGGCCATTAGTGTGGTAGTCCGTCAGCACAGACAGTGGATCTTCCTCACTTTCTGCTCCACCATCTCGAGCATTTTTTCCCTTTATCTGTGACAGAGAGTGTGTGCCCACACATGAGAGAGAGGACCACCCTCACAGGGTCTGGTCACGCCACAATCCCCTTCCTCCGGTCAAGTGCGTGCCCAGTGTGTCTCAGGCTGACCGGGCCTGGGATTCGAATAGTAGTCACTACATGGCATTCAGCTTCTTTCAAATAGCACATCACTGCTGCGCCATGAAGCCGGCCCGTGTGTCATTCTGTGTGTGCGTGTGCACCTGTGCGCGTGTGCACCATCACACTGGTTTTTTACGGTGGGTTGGGAATCAGGAATTGAACCCCAGGCCCCCCGTGTAGGCTCAGCAGGCCACTGCGGCTGGGCTCTTCCTTAGCATGCTGGCCACCAGGTCGTCATGGTACCCCGGCATCCCAGCATCGCCCCTCAGAATCCAGAGGCTTTGACAAAGGGAAGCACCCCAGGTGTAACGAGGAAAGCTGCCTCAGAGACCCGGGACTTCCCTCCACGTCTCTCTGCTGGGAAGACGGGCTCCTGCAGGCAGGACAGGAGCACGCCCACAGGGCGAATTCGCAGGTTCACATCCAGAGACCTCCCTGAGGACTCTGGGCATGCCTGTGCCCATGATCCAGACTGGCTGGGGCTTAGGCTGGATCATGGCATTGGACCCTGTCTCTCTGTCTCTCTCACTCATAAATAAGTAAACTTGCAAAAATGCATTACACTCTCCTTTCTCTTCCTCCTTCTCCTTATCTCGGTCTCATTTAAAAATTAATAATAATAAATTAAGTGGCTTACATATTACATGCTTGGACCTAGACCAATCATTGGCAAAGGGGATGGCAAAGGATGGCCATGCTGGCTGGGTTGGAGCCTGACCTCTCAAGACGCTGACCTGGGAAGGCCAGGCAGAAGCAGGGCGTGTGACTGACACCTGGAAGGGCCACACAGCTCTGCACCTGCCAACCAGCCAGAGGGCCGAGCGCATCTCTTGTGAGGGTTCTCGTCCCCAGGACAGCACCCCAGTGTTGACCCTGAGGATGCGTGCCAGCTCAGTGTCCCTGCAGCTCAGGTAGGAAGGGAGGAGGCACTGACTCGCACCCAAATGGGAACCTGCTGGCCTTTTTCGGCTTATCTAGAGGATGTGCAGGGCTGATTGCATCAGAGAGATGGGGGTGGGAATCTTATTAAGGATGTGTTCTGTCACATACCAGAGAAGCAAAGTCTTTTGTGAACCCAACGGGCAATGCAGGTGATGCAAACAACTCCTCGGCCGAGGGCTTTAATTTCCTGTCGGAGAGCCGATGATTATCTGCTGGAAACGTTTCAGCTCAAGTAGGGACAGGGGACACACAGAATGAAAGAGCCCTTTATATTTTCACTCTGTAAATCCAGACCCTGGGAAAAGAGACCCTTGGCGAAGGAGGCCAGCCACATGCACAACTCTGCCCTCTCCAAATACTCTCAAAGGCAAGTTGGGGCTCCCTTAAATGGAGGAAACCAAGGAGGTGACCCCAACATGGCAAGAGCCATGGGAGAGAGAAGTGTAGACAAGAGAAAAAGAGAGAACCCCTCCAAAAGATGGAAGGAGACAATGAGACTGAGAGACTGGAGAGAGAAGAAAGGCCCCGCTTCAGTGGCTCGGTTGGTAGCATACTGAATTGCAGAGTCGAAGCCACATGGCCAACAGTGGGTTCTGATCCTGAGTCAGCCTAAATACATGCTAGATGCATGTGCCCAAGATCCTGACGTGCTGGAGGGCTGGGGAGAGGGGATAGAGACATGACGAGACCCTGTCAAAAGTACCTTTTTCTCTTTCTTTTTAAGAATTGTTTATTTGGGGACCAGCAGTTGGTATAATGACTGTGTCACTGGGCTCCCATGTAGTCAATTGCAGTTCAAGCCCCCAGACCCGGTGGCTTAAACTCACACCGGGCGCGTGTGCACGCGTGCCCAAGATCCTGAGAGGAGAATGGAAAAGGGATTGTGGCGTGGCCATCCCCCCGGGGGTGATTTTTCGCTTTCTGTCTCTCTGTCTCTGTCTGTCTGTCTGGCGAGCACACGCACCCTATAGCAAAAACCTCTCTAAAATAATAATAATAATAATAATTTTTATTTTACTTATTTAATTTGTGTGCTTTCCAGACAGAGAGAGAGGGAAAGTGAGAAAGCAAGCTGCCAGGCTCAGGACTCAAACTGCCTTTGGCCTTGTGGGAGTCCAGCGCCTTAACTACCACGCCACCTGCTGGCCCATCCTCTCTCTTCCAGTCTCACACATGTGCATGTGCTCTCTCATGCATAAAATAAACAACAAAAACGTTTTTAAATAAAGAAAACGAAAGACAGAGATAAGGAGGAAAAGCAGACAGATGTGGCAGAAGAGAAAAAAGAACAGTGGAGAGAAAGACTGAGAAAAGGAGGAGAGCAGAAAACTAGAAAGACAAGGGATGCCCAACGATCACTGTGCCATGGGTGTCTCATTCAATGCTGATGTTTACCAGTCGGAACTTCCAGCCTGCTGTGGTTTGAATGTGACCCCAAAATTCATGTGATGAGATTTGGTTGTGATAGGATTAAGAGGGTGAAAATTTAATTCAACAGTGGAGCTTCGGGGAGGTGATTGGGATTAAGGTCATCAGTGAAAGGCTCCCATAGTTGACTCTTGGTGGGTGTGTAAGGAGAGGGAAGGAGTCAGACGCGTGGACACAGACGCACACGTGCTTGCTCTGTCTCACCACGTGATGGCCCCCTCCGTGTTATCCACCAGCAGGAAGACCCTCACCGGAAGTGGCCCTTTAACCTTGGACCTTCAAAACTATGAGCTAAATAAACCTCTGTTCTTTGAAAATCACCCACC